TGCATAATCTTATTAACTGTTTATCTCCTGAGCATATTTCTTTACCACGCTATTCAGCGCCAATCCCGCCGTGCAGTCAATTTCACTGGTTAAGGTTAGGGTTAATTGACACAACCAATAAAATCTTTAGATTACCCTAACTGAAATTATGCATTTTAAATTCGAATATAATTAGAATTTTGATTATATTTAAGCACAAAATTCGAATTTTGTTTTTCAGCCATTTTGACAGCCCTAATGTGAGCTTTGATGAATTTTGAACATTTTGAAAAATCTTAGAAAGTCTCTTTAAACAAGAGAAAACATTGTTGCTCTGATTTGAGAAAATAAAAAAGATTCATGCTTCAGGCAGAATCTAAGCACTCCACTTCCACTCTACACTGCTCACATACTCTGGTTGTAACAATTTTCTAAAAATAGCAAAACAAAAATAAATAAGTAAATAAAAATTTTACACAGACTTTTTAACAGTGGAAACTGTTTGCATTTATAGCCTATAAAAATCACAAGGTATATATGACATTTATGTGATTACTATAAAAAAACAATGTGACAAAAACTATAGGAACTAATTGTGAGTAGCGAGTATGTAGCCACCCTATACTTTATATCTAAGGAATTGTGAAAAATGTGACCACTGTTTGCATGTTGACAAAGACAATTTTCACAGTGTGATTTTATCTGTGCTTCTGCCATTGTGTATAGGTTATGTGTCACACTGTGGCAGTGACTCTGACGACTCAGACACAGACGTGGATGCTCTCCTTGCTCATGTTGCTAGCACTGCCAGAAGCAACAACACAGCAGTTAAACCCAGTGATAAGCTACCAGACGAAACCGAAAAAGCACAAAGTTACATAGAAAAAGATGAAGAGGTGGAGACGGAAGGAGGCAAAGAAGAGGAGGTGGTTGAGAAGAAGGAAAGGGAGGAGGACAAAGAAACCATCCATGAATCTATGCTTGGTAATAATGGAAAAACAGTAGAAAGAGACAACGAGAGAGTGGGCACAGAAAAGGAAGACGAAGAGCAAGAGAAAAAGCCTCAACAACCTCAGTGTGTCATCATTGTCGATGACCCATCATCTGAAGCATCTGATTCATACCAAACTGAGTCACATTTCATGACCAGCATGTCCAGTGACTCTATAGATGCCCTAGAGGAGGACGACCTCATGACCTACTTTTCTACCAGACGCCCATGCCATTTACCAGTGAAAGACTCTTACTGCTGTGAAGATCGCTATTCACCATCATTGTCTCCACAGCAACTGCACAGCAATGATTCTCATTCCCAAAGTGACCTGTGCTCTGCTGATTCCCACTGTGAGCCTGATATTAACCAATTCTTTTGCGTTCCTGCACTCTCAAATATTGCTGAATGTCTACCTAGTCCCCCTGCAGCCAGTGAAGAGGAGGATTGTGAGGAATTGGGAACAGAGAATGAAAAACATGAAAATGAGTCACCTGCAAAATGTCCTGGGAGCAGCCTACCTCCTTCTGGAGACTATGTGTTCACATTTGAACAAGGAGACACCAGACATTATTACAATATCTGCTCCAATGTTACCCCTGACAGTGCCCGGAGCCTTCCACGACCTCTCTCTCCTCCAGGTCCTGTGGAAACACAACCAGATCAGGAAAGAGAGGAAGTGAATCAGACAGAAACAGTGCCAATCTTTCAACCCCCACCAGGGTTTGGAGATAGCAGTTCAGATGACGAGTTCTTTGATGCTCGGGAAAGATTCACATCTCCTGAAGAACCCTCCTCAACTGCCATGACAAGAGGTATGACATAGGGGAGATTCACCATGAAATGTTCTCAAAATATTTCTATAACATGTTGTAGAAGTTAAAGAAGTCAGTGAAAATTAGTTATCTGTAACCATCAATAGACAAAAATACCCAAAATAGTTGTGTGTACTTTTGCTAACAAATACTTACCATATGTATTTGCTGATATTTCTCTTTATAGAAACTTCTGCAGAGTCAAGCACCATATTACAGACACTAAGCCTGAGGGGGATTGGCATCTGTGCAAGTGAACAAGAGACAGTGGATTTAGAGAGGAAAGAAAAGGAAGAAGGAAAAATGGTTTCTCAAGTTGAATCATCATATTTCAACAAAAGATCTAAAAAGCGTCGCTCATTCATGGAAACAAATTACACATCCCTGGTATCATTCCCAGAACAGGATCATTTAGGTAACAGCTATGGAAATAGCATCCCAAACTATGGATCTATATCATTCAACCAAGGTGCTGGCCGAATGCCATGTTTTGATGGTGGATGCTCAGATAAAGGTCCATGTCCTACAGTCTTATCCCTAACCGATTCTGAAGGAGAACCAGCGCAACTGGAATCCAAGCCCATCAACCCATCCAAAGTCAATGGATCAGGACTACATAATCCTACTGATACACACTCAAACAAAGCATATCAGCGGAAACAGCAACTTATAGAGATGGAACCAGATTCCATGGAGTTCAAATCAGTCACTGAACTAATGTCTACTGTATCACCAACTATAGTAGCAGTACGCTCCCATATGGACCTACAGGGTGAAGGAAACACCAGTAACCATAGCAGAGATGATCAAGAGGAAGGTGCAGTGGGAGGTCTAGTTGAGAGACTGTTTGGAGGTCACTTGTTCTTTGATATGTCTAGAGGACAGTGTGATAGCAGTGTTTTATTTGATCAAAGAGATGATCAGGTAACCAAACAAATGGAAGATTTTTTCCAAGGCAGTTCAGTAACTCAAAAGAGCAGCTCACTACCAAGACTAGGCCAGATATCCCCATCAAGTTTACCCTACTTTCATGTCCCAAGCATATCTTACACCACAAGCCCTAATATAGACAGATATGGCAATACTGTACATCTACAATTTGGGATGGGAAAGCACTCGGTGGAGCCAATAGAGAGAACCAGAAGTCAAAGCATGTCTGCATCTTTTGGTAACAGCGCACTGCATTGCCCATCAAGGCACTTATTTTCCCAGCGAGTCAAAGGACCAGAATCTGATGAAACCGATGATTTTTGTGACCCTTCACTCCGAGAACTATCTTCTAGTGTACCATCTTATGAACCAGCCCAAAGGTTCCTTCTTACACCCTGTTCATCCAGCATCCTTGGGCGACTCTCTGCCTCAACATTGCGGGGAAAGATCCAGAACCTTCCCCTCTACTTATCACGTTCCCAGGAAATGTTAAATGCCAGTTCTAATGGCAGTGGCAGTGTTGAGCCTGTGAGAAGACTTTCAGAAACACAGCTACAAACAAATGAAGTTGAAGTAGCAGAAGAGGCAACTGAGGATGTAACGTTGAATGAAGGTTCTCCTGAGGTAACAGAGGTAAAAGTGGTTACCATAGTATCTGAAGAGGTCACTGAGGTCATTGAGGAGTTAAGAGAGGTCAGCCACACTAGTGCTAAAGCATGTGGGCAGCAGAAAACCAAAACTGACCCTAAAGAGTTTTCTGTAAAAGCCATATCCCCCTTGTGCTCCAAAGCAGGCAACTCTCTCCAAGTCAGCCCCTCATCTGTAGTGGTTACTACACAGAATCTAAACAGACCCTGGGGGGTGGTAACGTCTAGTGGGTTACAAGGATGTAGCCACCCTTCCTCAAGCACAACTCCCCATAACTTCACCTCTAGTTGTGGGGTTTTTGCAAACTGCAAGTCCGAACCTACCATAACCCAACCACAATCCTTGCCTAGCTCAAATCTACATGAGAAACCAGAACTTAGCTGCAGCTCGGTACTGGCTATGGGGTGTGACACTGTAATGGAAGGTGCTCAAACACCTTTAGAGGCCTGCCATACAGTATACACCAACTGTTTTAGTGGAGTTCTTGACAGCGCCAGTTTCGATGATGAACTCACCGTATATGAGTTTTCCCGCAGAACAAGCCAGGGTGAAACAGGGCATGCTGTTTTGACATCTGTCCCTCCTTCCTCGCTCTCTGCATCTCCTGCATCTTTCTCCCCATCTTCTCCATTGCCCTTGTTCCCTCATCTAGTACTGCCTGCTTCATCATCTACAGAGCTCAGTCCCCTTCTGTTTCCATTGGATGCCCCTGACTGCTTCCTTTCAGACCTTCATGAAGATACCATCACTTCACTGTTGACTCGTCGATATCCCCTTCCACCAACAGGATTCCTTTCTTTGCAAAGGGATGTGGATACCCTCTTAAATGTTCTTGCTGGCGCTATGAAAAACCAAGATGGGGTCCATGAGCACCCCAGGGATAACTGTGTGGCTCACTTTTCAGAGAACAAAAGGCGATTACATGCAGAGGCTCGGGGGCTTTTAGCAGGATGCCAACGCGTGGTCAGGGTTGGGCAGACGCCAGAGGAAACACTTAAGTCGTTGTCTGAAAGCTTCCACTCACTGGTACAGCTGACAAGCGTGTGCTTATGTTTCTCTAGCTGCCAGCGATGCAGGGAGCGCCATGCCCAAGCACTTACAGGACTAGCAAGTGTTGCAAAAACTTATCAGGACTTTGCTCGGGCAGCAGAGCTAGTGGGAAGTGCTACAGAAAGAAAGACTTGTCATGATCTCAGTATTAAACTCCTGGCTCGCCAATGCACTGCACTAACAACTTCAGTCTTCTGCCTCACCCAGCTCTTTCGCACTCTTACTGCCCTTTGACCTTTGAACAGTTACATTGAGTAGTTTTTTTTTCCTCCTCCAAACCGCAAGAAACCAGTCAGAATAATTCAAATGTTTTTCAAATTGAACTGTTGAGATCTATAACATTAACATTGATGCAGTGTCCAAAGGTAGTGGCACACTCACAAACATACAGACACTGAAAAATAAAACCTACCATTTAAATGTTTTGAATGGATTAACCTACAATGACAAGTGTACTGAGAACAGAATTTCTAAACAGGGTACTAAACAGCTTGTTTCACAGTATTTGTATGTTGGGTTTAAGTATTTAGTATTGAATGTAATTCTAAACCATAACTGTCTTTGTACTATGGTTGTCCGTAATTTATTCTGCTTTATGAGGAAAGCATAGACAGGGATTTTGCGTAATGTATTTTCCAACATTATCTGCTCTCATACGCTCTCTTTCTTGCTTTCTCACTACTGTTCTCACCAATGTTGCACATACAGTATATTCTCTTCTCTCTGCTAGTGTCTATATTAGAGAATGTTATAAAAGCTTTCTGCAGTAATCACCTGGGTTATAAATGTTTACTAAATACAAACAATATTTTACTTGAGTTGCCAGTAATGTTACTGTGTTCCTTTAGAAGAACATACCAAAGCCTATGGATGAATGATTTTGCCGTGAATGCAGATTCATTCAAAAGACTTTATATTAACTTTTGCACATGCTTTACAGTTATAACTTCAAGAAGGGAGGTTTATGTGGATCATTCGATTATTTTTGTGGAAAAACAACAGACTAATTTTTGGTGCCATTGATTTATTTTTCACTGATAAGTTTTTCCTTTTCAGTCATTCCTCCCTCTCTAGTTTTCCCAAAGCACCGCTCACATAATCTTACAATGATCAAATTATTCTAGAAAATGTTTGAAAAGTGACAGATATGGAAAATTACAAATTTGAGTGTGACAGAATATTAAATGGCTAAATTAAATGGAAAGTAATTTACCCACCAGTACATGTGTCTGAATACCAAAAAGCTGCCATGCACTCTCTTCCTATAAGGCAGGGGTGCCCAACCCTGTTCCTGGAGATCTACCTTCCTGCAGAGTTCAGCTCCAACCCTGATCAAACGCAACTGAGGCCCTGTCCACACGAACGTGGCTATTTTTAAAACCGCAGATTTTTCTATGCGGTTTGGCCGTTCGTCCACACGCAAATGCAGCACCAGGTCACTGAAACAAATTTTTTTTTAAATCCTGCCAGGGTGAAGATTTTCAAAAACTCCGGTTGCAGTGTTATCGTGCATGGGTGTTGCCCAGGCAGATGAACACAAGCTTGAAGGGGTGGGGTTTAAAAGGACCAAATGATTGAATGAAGTCCTGCATGCATCGCCAGAGAGAAGTCTGTCATTTTCACCGGAAGGTCCAGTTATGACAGTTTAAATAAACGTTACAAGGTCAATTAAAAAAAGAAAAGAAAAAGAAAGAAAAACATATTCATAGATTAATTGTTCACAGATTATAACAACATTAATTTAGAAAATAGATGCTGACTTGAGGCAGTCCAGCACCATATGATGTGAATCAAGTTTTATTAGGTTAGTAATGTTTTTAATTTTAATCTTTTTTTTTCAAACGTACTATTGATTTCTGAAAATACCATAATAATATCACACATACAATTTAAATGGAGTTGGTGAATTCAGGGTTTAATCTTGACAGTGCTTCATAGCATGCGTTTGCGTTTTCATGTGAACGTAGATTTTTTTTTAAACTGAAGAAGGAAAAACTCAGTTTATAAAAATACCCGTGTACATGTGGACATGGCCTGAATCAACTAATTAGGATCTGAAGGGGCACTTGATAATTACAGACAGGTGTGTTTGATCAGGGTTGGAACTGAACTCTGCGGGAAGATAGATCTCCAGGAACAGGGTTGGGCACCCCTGCTATAAGGCATGCTGAAGCCATAGACATACTGTATACCTTTGAAATAGTGGGCTGCATGTAAAAATGAATGCATGATTGAAAGAATGACCAGTGATAGAATGAATGGTTATAGTAATGAAAAATGGCTTTGTAATGCAGTATTCACCCCATTAAAATGACATCTAAATGACTGGCGAATTAATGTTTTATTAATTAGACTTTACACTATTCTCTTCCATGTAAGTGCCGATACATGTTAACAGCCTTTGCATCAACTCTGCTTTTTTTTTCAAACGTACTATTGATTTCTGAAAATACCATAATAATATCACACATACAATTTAAATGGAGTTGGTGAATTCAGGGTTTAAAGCATGTTCATTGGCTATCTGCAATGAATGGATGTTGAATCTAAATAACCATAAAAATAACCATAGTTTTCTAATTTTTCTGGTAAGTCAGTTCTTTCAGAGCTCTGTTCAGAGTCACAGATTAATTTAATTTATTATTATTATTATTATTGTCGTTGTTGTTTTAACAGATGAGGTTGTACATTTTTGCTATGCTTATGCTATCCTTAAAGGAACACTGGCATTTTTTAGTTAACAATGACATTAAAAAAACGTAAATGTGTGTTTCTGCAACTAGGGGTACTTTTGACTCTACAAAATTTTTAAAATCAACCTGTGAATTTTAATTTTAACCATCAGAGTCTGTAATACATATAAAAAGGTCAACAAAATTGCATGGAGTCATTAAGATTTTAATCTGGAACATGTTTATTTTTTATGTTTTTCAACTCTTCGTCTTACAAAATGTCCTTACCACAACGTTACAATAACGTTCATTATATACATTTTTCTTTTTTAATTTCTACAAAAATTTAATATATTTCAATAGATTTTTCACATTTTGTGCAGTTTTGTAAATACTGATATTAAAAAATAATATACAAAATAGGAGATTTCAAGGTTTTCTCTATGCCATGTAAAATTTAGACAGTAACCTTAGATGTCAATTGTTTCCATACACACTAAAGATGGCATATTTAGCTTTTTATGACAGATGTTGCAATTTCAATGTGTAAATCATCTCAACTTAAGTGCTAAAATATTTTTTGCAAATAAAAATATGAAAAAAATAAAATAAAGCAGAGCTGCGGTAATGACATCTTGTGTCGGTAAAACAGGCTACTGTAGAGAACAACAGTAAAGGTAAATATAATTTACAATAGACTGAATATTTGTAATTTAATATACAGTAAACCTTGAACTTGTCTCTACCGCAACACCTACATTTGTTGCGGTAAATTAGTTTTTTTATTATTAGTTTTGACTCTTACACAAAATAATGATCTTTAAAAAAGCATCATATGACCCCTTTAATATATATGACTTAAACAGTAATATACATTTATTTTTTAAATGTATCAGGTAAGGACACAATAAATACTGACACAGAAAAGACGATATTTACCTTATATTTTTGGGATCTTGTGAGTGAGGTAGTGAGGTGGCCTAATCTGTCAGCAATGTGCTCACGTGCTAATTTCTGTTTTCATAGAAACTAGACTTGTTTGTCTTTGATAAAATGTCATAATAAAAGCCTTCACAATCAGCTTGTAACACTCCAAAGAGAAAGGAAAACTTGAAATCGCATCATATGACCCCTTTAAGATGCTGTAAATTAATATGTATATTAAACAATTCCATTTGAAATAATGTCAAATTGTAATTCAATTAGATTATTTTACGTGACTGACCAGAGTTGTAGGACATGAACAAAAATGGTGTTTGGACCTATAAATGCTTAATAATTTTATATTAAATCACATTAATCATTAATTATATTTTGTCAAGGTGTGTAATGACACTGTGAGTATATTTATAAAGCATATGACAAATTTTAACATAAATCTAAAATTTCACTGCTGGGACTTAAAAGTGCCCGTAGTTGCAGAAACACTCGTGTATATATATATATATATACACACACACACACACACACACATATATATATTCAGTGCTGAGTATTGAGCTGTTACTGAGCAGGGGTTTCAGGCTATGTGTGTGTGTGTGTGTGTGTGTGTGTGTGTGTGTGTGTGTGTGTGTGTGTGTGTGGCTATTGACTTTCAATTAAGTTACAAACTCACCCTGAAAATTATTCATTGGAGTTACAAAAAAAAGTTAGGCGGAGTTATTGGCAACGAGAGAGAGAGCACGCCAGCACGGTGAGTAGTCTGTAATGTTTTTGCTATCATATGTTTAATAATTATCGTATATATTACGTTAAGCATTTATCTGCTAAGTACTTAATGTGTGCTTGGCTTTATTATCTTATATTGAAACTTGAATTTGTTGTCATACTTTATAGTATATAACTTTTTTTTGTGGATGTTTCGATTAATTTTCGGATGTATGCTGTAAATGAGCCTTGTGGTGAAGTTTTGAAGACGTTTATTATTCATATAAACAAATGTATGATGCACGTGTTCTTGACTTTGGAGTAAACATTTATTTTAAATCTTGTGATTAAAGTATATTTAATATAAAAAGCCCAGAAGTTTCAAACATTATTTTTAATATCACAAACAGGAAATGACTCGCATAATACAATGAAACGAATACTAAATTACACAAGATGTATAATGTTTATAAAATGCTTAATATGTCATTATAAAATGCATACATACATAAAGTATGACGTATCGTGTGTAATAAAAGCAAATTACCCCTTAAAAACCGTAAGGTGGCGCTACTCTGTTAAAAAATGTAAGCTCCGCCCCTCACTTCCGGTTCTGTGGCTGCGGTTCTGAAACTGCTGGTGCTGCGGGTCTGCAGCTGGATACTATTGGAAAAACGCCTTCCACCTAGCGCAAAAAGACTTTTACCGTAACAGGAACTCTTCTGACGTAGCAAGTGGGAAATTCAAATTTTTCAAACATGTTCGAATGAAAGATGCTTTGGCAGTTTTAATTTTATATCACATTGTAAACATATGTAATCTCGCGTAACAGAGTAAACTATTGCCTCTTTTTTAACATTACATTATAAGTTTTTGGTTTTTATTGTTTTGAGATCAATATCGCTTATATCGGCGTTTTAAACTGAATCATTGGAGCACAGCTGGTGAGTTTGTTGTGCAACATGTTGGTCAAAACAAACCTTTATTATGACTGCTTTTACCAGTTCATTCATTGTGTTAGTTTGACATAGGTACATTTGAAAGTTTTCACCTTTGAGGAATACAGTATGCATCATATATCCAGTAACGTTACATTGCTCCTCGAGTATCCGATTCAAAAACGCTTTAGGAATGTTGAGCTGTCTTTCCACAGTAGAGACCAAATTGAGACAATAAAAATAAAAAAGGATTCTTCTCGAAGGTAGTAATCCAGCATTGATAGGGTGAAAAATAAATATAAAACCTACTCTTTGTGGTTGAATCTTCTGTTTTGTGGTTTGATCGTGTTGTTTGTTTACACCGTTGTGATGATCACCATTCTCACCAAGTACTTGATATTGCAAATGTGATGATGAGTGTCACTTAATCGGTGGTTTTATATAAACGTGTCGCTAAAAATGTGTAACTAAAAGAAAAAATGCTGTTTTAATGCAGGTGTATGTGTCCTCAGCATGCCTGTAGAAAGCACTTCTGAACTTCTCAAGCACTATGAGGTTTATGAAACCATCGGCTCAGGTAATGTCCATTGATTATGCTTTTATGTAATGCTTTAGTGATCGTGCATATGAGAAACTTTCATCAAGAGCACATCTTGTTTTATTCTGTTCTAACCCATAGGTGGGTTTGCCAAAGTCAAACTTGGTATACACATACTGACAGGAGAGAAAGTGGCCATCAAAATAATGGAGAAGAAAGACCTAGGGGTAAGATCTTCTTTAGGTTGGCCTTGCCTTAAAACACATTTTACGTTTGCACAAATTCTTTTGAGGATTAATGAAGAAGTATGGAGATATTGCTTAATTTATTCTACTTTTAGATGGAATACAGTGTTAGCATGCTGAAAATGAGAAGAGTATGCATTTTGGAAAAGAAATGCTCTTTAAAGTGTGCGTTACCTGTTTTTAGGATGATCTGCCCTGAGTTAAGATTGAGATTGAGGCTATGAAGAACCTCAGTCATCAACACGTGTGTCGACTCTACCATGTCATTGAGACATCAAGCAAGATCTACATGGT